TTCCCTATCTATATCCCTTCTAGTTCTACTCCTATTCCTTTTCCTTTGTCCTTCCTTCACCTCACTCCTTCTCCTTCCCTTCCTTTTTTGCTACCCCCCTCCCTTCCCTTACATCTTCTTGTTATCTTCCCTTCTACTTTCTCTTTCTCATTCCCTTCCTTCTTCTTATTTCACTTATCTTCTTTCTTATTCTTTTTTCTCCTTCTTTCCTTCCGTCTTCTCATTCTCCTTTCTGTTCTTCCCATTCTCTTTTCTGTTCTTCCCATCCTTTTTCCCTTCCTGTTTATTTTTCTTCCCTTAATTCTTCTCATTATCCTTCCCTCCCTTCTTTATCTTCTTGCTTGCTTATTCTTACTCTCCTTCCCTTGCTTATTCTTACTCTCCTTCTCTTCTTTGTTCTTATTTTTCTCCCCTTCCTTCTTCTCATGCACCTTCCTTCTTCTTATTCTAATTACCTTCCTTCTTCCCTCCCTTAATCTTACTCTCCTTCCCTTCTTTGTTCTTATTCACCTTATCTTCCTTCTTCTCATGTGCCTGCCCTTCCTTCTTATTATTCTTCTTCCCTTCCTTTTACGTATTCTTCTTGTTCCCCTCCTTATTCTTATTCTCCGTCCCTGCTTTGTTCTTATTCTTCTTTCCTAGCTTCTTATTCTCATTCCCTTCCTTATTCCTATTCTCCTTCCCTTCCCTTCTCCTATTCTCCTTCTTCTTCCCTTCCCTTCTCCTATTCTCCTTCTTCATTCTTATTCTTCTTCCCTTCCCTTCTCCTATTCTCCTTCCTCATTCTTAATCTTCTTCCCTTCCTTCTTCGTTTTCTCCTTCCCCTCACTCATTCTCATTTTTCTTCCCTTCTTTCTTCTCATTCTTCTTCACTCCGTCCTTTTCTTTAGCATTCCCTTCCTCCTTTTTTCTTATATCTTCTTCTACCTAACTCATTTCCTTTTCTCCTTTTCTTCCTCCTTCTGTTTCTGCTTCCCTTCCTTTTCTCTTTCTCCCTTTCCTTCTCATTTTCCTCCCCTTCCTATTTCTTTCTTTCTCCTTCCATTACTTTCCATCCTAACTCTCTTCCATTACTTTCTCTTCCATCTTTCTGTCTTCTTTTCCTTCTCTCTTCCCTTTCTTGTTGTACCCACCTGCCACAGCCATTACAATCCACTATTTATTTTACAATACCGGGGGGGGGGGGGGCCTCAGCATTGGTG